AATGAACGGGTCCCAAGAAAGCAAAGCGGTTTGGCCCCTTCTCTTTCTGGTGTCTGGATGGTGACGTTGCCCCGTGCCCTTCCTTGGCACAGTTGACCGGATGCTGCTCCGTGTGGTGGGTTTTTCACGTTTCGCATGACTGAAAAAAACATGTTGGATCCTGCAAGGGTTGGTTTGGTTTGGGGTGGGAGGGGCACGTACGGAAAAGGGGGGAAAGCCTTGTTCTGTGAATCCTAAGAGCAAACGGTTAAAGGGAGGGGGAGCCTCTGTTTGTTCCCTGACACTCTTTCTCCCCTTCCAAAGCAGCATTAGGAAAACAGAGAGTTGGGTTAGGGAAGAGCCTAGCCAGGCGAGCTAAAGCTGTGGATTTGAAGGCATGGGCTTTGTTTGGAAAGGAAGAAAAAACAGGGGTTGCGGGTGAAGGAGATGGGACGCATGTATTTGTGTGTGTGTGCGTGTCCGTGTGCGCACATGCGTTTGTGTAATACTTAAAATTTCTAAAACCAGGAGCACGAAGGCTCTGAAGCATCCAAGCCACTTGATGTTATTTTGGTGGTTATTTTTTAAAAAGAAATGCACTCAGAGACATCCTTCTAACTTCACAGGCTCCAGAGGCAGATGGCAAAAAAAAAAAAATGAAAATAAAAATCTGGGTGTGAACTGGGGGGCAAAGAAGAAAGCAGGGCATAGAGAGGCCAGGGTCGAAGGGGGCCCCTCTGTGGTCCTCCAGGCAAGGTTGGACTGCAGTTCCCAGCATTCTGCTTCTCTTGCCGGGTCCGCTGGGAGCTGTAGTCCAGCGACGTCCCGAGGAAGACCAGAACTACACGTGACTAGGGTCAGAATCTGAAGACCTTCCATGCAAGCATCTCCCCTTGCCAATGAAACCCTCTCTTGAAGGCAGGGCCTCTGGACACGTACCCCAGGAAGATCAAGAGGAGAGGAAAGAAAAAGGCTCTCCTCTGCCCATGCAGAAGAAAGCCACGGGGAAGGGATGCGGATAGAGCCTGGAGATTTACTTCTAAGAAGTACAGTGGTGCCTTGCATAACGAGCGCACCGTTGAACGATTAATCCGCATTGCGATGCGGATTTCCCCATCGCTAATGTGAAGGCATGCTCGCAATGCGATGGGGGTACAGCTGTTCAGCGGTTGCAAAATGGCCGCCGGACACCCAAAATGGCCACCGGGACACCCAAAATGGCAGCCGGAACACCCAAAATGGCCACCGGAACATGGGAAAACATCGGAGAACGGTGAGTTTTGAACCCATTTGGAACAGATTAAACGAAGTTTAATGCGTTCCAATGGGTTTTCCCGTCCCGCTTAACGATGTTTTCCCATAGCGAAGGTTAATCCGGAACAGATTAATCTCGCTATGTGGGGCACGACTGTAATGTGTTCTGATTCCTCGTTATATTGGCAAGAATCCTATTGGGGTTTGCGCAATTTGCCATGGTGAATTGAGGCGGAGCGCCAGCATGCCTTGCTCACACGATGGATTGTGCGATCGAGATTAACCTTGGCACATCCTCAATTAGCCACAATTAGCCAATCGAGATTAACCTTGGCACATCCTCAATTAGCCGCAATTAGCTGTAGCGGATGATACAAGCTGTACGCCAACACCAGTAGGATTCTGATCGGAAAGTAACCTTTCTTGTGGCTCCTTCCAGTCTTGAGAATTAATCCCATTCCGTTTCTTTCAGTTCTTTCTAAAGGATTTCCAACAATGGGGGAATAACACTTCACAATTCGTATGAAAACCACTCTTAACGATGCCATTCTGTGCCCTTACAAAAGAAACTATTGATGCAGTAAGTATAATGTCACTTGCTGCACCAATAAAGTTACCTTACTCTTAGTCATTACCTGATTTTGAAATGTGACTTTGTTATAGCCTTATTCCCCAGAAAACAGCTTGCGAGCCATGCCATGCCTTTTAACTGGTTACAGCCCTTCAGAGCCCTGTTTATGGGCGGGGGAGTCAGGAGAGTGCCTCTGAGCTGATGCAGAGTGTGCATTTCATGCCCTTCCGTTTACATATCGGTGTGGGTGTGAGGGTGTGCCGATGTGTGAGAGCGGGTGCATCACCCCAACCGGGCACTGGCCGTGGGGCGATCAGCGAAGAGTTTGCAACAGGCTTTGGGAACGTGCGAGCTTCCGGGTCCGGTTGGACGTGCGACGTCGGTCCGTCTTAGCCAGCGTAGCCAGTAAGNGGGGGGGTCTACCCAAATCTGTTTTCCTCCTGCCTGCTCTGTTGGCTGCCTTTGGGCTTCACAGAACGGCTCTCCTCAACTCAGTCTTGGCCGGCTCTCTCTGCTAATCCAGATTTCTTTCCCCCACTCTTTAAAAAAAATCAATGAATGCAAAAATCTGGCACAGGTTTATCCCCAGGGAAGGACGGGGGGGGGGAAATGGTCCCGTCTACCCAAATCTGTTTTCCTCCTGCCTGCTCTGTTGGCTGCCTTTGGGCTTCACAGAACGGCTCTCCTCAACTCAGTCTTGGCCGGCTCTCTCTGCTAATCCAGATTTCTTTCCCCCACTCTTTAAAAAAAATCAATGAATGCAAAAATCTGGCACAGGTTTATCCCCAGGGAAGGACGGGGGGGGGGAAATGGTCCCAATCCTCTACCATTCCTTTGGCACCTCTTAGCTGCTTCCTTTCTATTTCTCTCTCTTTCCGAAGACACTCGGATCCAGTCCTGATCTCCCAGTAGCAGCCTCCCAACTGCCCGCCACCCACCCACCCCTTTGCAGACACCCATCAAGGCTGGGACGACCCCAGCAAGGCCCACGGCCCCAATCTCCCCCCTTCCGTCCCCTTCCCTCTGCAAAACCGGCCGCCTTGGATCTACTAATACTGCTAACATGGGCCTGGCTTTTTGTCCCCCCCTCCATCCTTCCACCCCCTCACCCTCACCCTCCCGTCCCCCTCACCCTCCGAACCACCTTGTTAGAGACCGCGTTGGCAACTTTTTGTCGTTGTGTGTTACTAACACGCTTCTTGGGGTGCAGGGGGGGTGATGGCGGTTGCAGGGATGACCCCCCCAACTCCTCGGGCCGGAGAATCCGGAACTAACCTTTGTCCCATCCACGGAATGTCGGTTGTTTATTTTTTCTTTCGTTTTTTCCAGTCTTTTCATTTCGTTCTGTTCTTTCCTTACTAACCAAGATGTAGAAAATTCCATGGGTTTGGGGTGGGATTGGGAGGTTGGGGGGAGGGATCCTGACACTTGCGGGGAGTGGGGGGGGTTGTGTGATTTAGTGTCTTTTTCTTTTGATGGTTGTGAGAACTGGGGAAATTTATTTCTTTTTTTTTTAAATCTTCCTTGAATTTTCATGGTTGGTCATTTTTCCCCCCGTTTACCCCCTTCCCTTCTCGATTTTTTTTTGTTTCATTTTTTTTAATGCACACAGCACGCAGGAATTGGACACGCTATGGTAAACAAACTGCATTACCTGGTAGATATCAGTCTAATTGTCTAATCATTTGGTTTGCCGTGGGTTTTACCTCTCCCCTCCCCCCTTCCTTATTTTTTTAATCTGTTAATTGGGTTTTTAAAATTACCATGGTTTTGAACAAAAAAAAAATTTTTGAGCACGCACTGGTGCACCGATACACACAAGCAAACAGATAAAGGTTTTATCTGAACTGATTTTTAAAACTAAAACGCGTACTAAATTGTTTTCCCCAAAGAACCCTACTGATTTTACTGCAACACTTCCAGAGGGAAGCAGCTGGGGGCCCACGGGAAGCTCCTTCGATATATCCAAACTGATTTTAAAAGAAGAATATTTTCCGTGATAAAGAACTCTTTAAACCCTATCAGTAGTATAAGTGTGGTTTTCATGTTTTTTCCACACTTGAAAAATGACAGGAGGAGGAAGGAGATGCCAATGTAACTTTCTGGCCAGAATCCTGTTAGAAGCACAGAGCACACAAGAGTAATAGCGTAAGGGTGTAGAAGTCTAGTTGCGTAGTTCATGTCTGATGATCTCTCTGCCAAACACTCTGCCATGCGCTGATGGTTCCATAGCACCCCCCAAAAAATTAGAAAACTGCTCACACAGTTGTCCTTACGCATGCAGTAAAAGGGACCTCCATTTAATTCACAACTAAATCATTGCCCCAAATCTTCTCGAGGACTTATGCTAACAGCATTAACTTTTGGAAATCAATTCCCTCAATTAAGAAACCATCATAGATATGAGCTATTGGGTATCATGTCTGCAATGATTTCTTCACTCAAAACAATTCACCTTTAATAGTTAATATCATTAGTGTTACACGGCGTAAATGAGGATTTGGACCCTTATCTAGACGTGCCCCTAAACCCTTGTCCGTTCTAAAACCTGCTCAGTTTGACAGCTCATGGAGTAGGTCAGACCAGAAGGGGTGGAGGAACATGTGGCCCTTCAGCTTTTAGGATTGGCCTTACTTACCGTTAGTGGCGGGTTAAACCGCAGAAGTTGCAGGGTCAGAAGACCAAGCAGTCGTAAGATCGAATCCACGCAACGGAGTGAGCTCCTGTCGCTCATCCCAGCTCCTGCCAACCTAGCCGTTCGAAAGCATGTAAAAATGTGAGTAGATAAATAGGTACCACCATGGTGGGAAGGTCACGGCGTTTCGTGTCTCGTCACGCTGGCCACGTGACCACGGAAACTGTCTACGGACAAAAAGCTGGCTTGGAAACGGGGATGAGCACCACGCCCTAGAGTCAGACACAACTAGACTAAACATCAAGGGGAGCCTTTACCTTTACCTAGCCATGTTAAGATACAGTGAGGCAGCAACGTAGCTCATCTTTCGGACTGCTTGTAGCACCGTTCAGTTTGAGTTGTTTCCCAGTGACCAGCTGGGAATCTCTAACCAGCCCATGTCCGGTCTGGGCTCAAGTGATCATGGCTGGATGGTGTGCGCACAGAAGGGTTTCTCCAAGAGAGAGATCGCACCCAGTAGAACATCTCTTTCCTCCACAATCTGGCACAATCCTATATTCCTGTCTGATCACACCATTAGTGTGTCTCAGCATGTGTTGTCCAAAAAAAATAAAAAGTTGTGGAGGTGAAAGAGAAAAAAAGGCAAAATATTGCGGCATTTTAAAGACGAACAGGTTATTTCCGTGCCAGCTTTCGTGGATAAGAAGCCCATGTCCTCAGACACACAGGGTGCAGACATGCGTCCTTTATGTTTATCCTCGTTATGAGTTTTTGCCATCTTCTGCCAGCAGTTCTCCTCACTTTCTGCATGGGACAAACAGGACAGTTTGGGCGCAAACGTGTGAATGGAAACAAATCTGCGCTCAGGAGCAGCAACACAGAGAAATACTGTTTCAGAACCCTTCAACCTGCTAGGACACTCTGGGGTAGATCTCAAAGTCCTGTTAAATTTAAAAGAAAAAAAGAAATTACGAAGACAGACTCAAGAGGGAGAAAGAAGAATTTGGTTGCATGAACAACTTCCAGCCCATCTCTTAAGGGTCTCTGAGTAGAGATCAAGGCTTTTGAGCACATGACATAGGTCAATAGGCCAACTACAGGATAACTCAATGATTTACCGTATTTTTCGCTCCATAAGACGCACCAATTTTTTAGGAGAAGAAAACAGGAAAATATAATCTGTTTTCTTCGCTCCATAAGACACACAGACTTTCCACCCCCCTGTTTTGTGGGGGGAAAGTGTGTCTTATGGTGCGAAAAATATGGTAGGTCTCTGGCTGCAGAGCGAGAGGTTGGCAGTTCGATTCCCCACTGTGGCTCCTTGACAGGGGCTAGACTTGATGATCCATCGGGTCTCCTCCAGCTCTGCAGTTCAAGGATGATGATGATGATGATGATAACCCAATGTACTGTAATATTTTATGGGTAACAAATAATTCCTTTGCTATAAATTCTGTGCCATGAACAACTCATAGCGGTCCTGTGACAGACAAGACTACCTAGGTTATCACTGTGGCTAAGATCTGGTCATTAAAAGCTTGATCATTCAATTCCTGTTCAAACAAATCCATTTTCTCTGTTACCTGCATCCTCGCCTGGACATATAATCATAGAATCGTGAAGTTGGAAGGGGCCTATAAGGCCGTTGAGCTCAACTCCTTGCTCAAAGCAGGGATACAATGAATTTCACCACCGTAGGAGTAAATACAGGGAACACGCATTTGCACTCCTTATGTCTGAAGGAGTGGATTTTGATCCATGAAAGCCCACACTGAAATAAATCTGTTAATTTTTAAATGTTAGAGGGGTTTTCCCCCTCTCTGTCTTCCCCCCCCTCCCCATTTTATTTTCCCCACGTAATTTGAATGGCTTCGGGAAAGACAGACCTGGATTGCAGGACAGAAGGGAGAACCCAACGCTGCTCGAGAAGAGAAAAAGAGAATCTATATGTGGCCGTGGAAGACAGGAGGGCCTGGCGTGCTCTGGTCCATGGGGTCACGAAGAGTCGGACACGACTAAACGACTAAACAACAACAACAACATATATGGCTGAATCTGATCCAAAAAATGCAGAGAGAATGTAAACCTGCTTAGAGATACAGCTTGATATATTAGGAATATAGAACAGTAATAAGAGATCTATAGAGTCGCAATAGATTTCTGGTATAAACCTGGGTTTGCTACAAACCCTTCTTCAAGGACGGGAGTTGGACAATTACAAACCGACCTACTCACCCACCCATCCCGTAATTGTTTGTAGGCTAATTTGACCAAAAAAACCAATGACGTCAGGAGAGCAACAGGACGCAAAAGTGACTGTGATCTCTCTCCGCCTTAAGGACCATCGTCATGTTCAGGCTCAACGCAAGTTCTTTCCTTTCTTGCTTTTCCAGCAAAACATTTTAGGCTAATAGGAGGGAACCTTTTGAACGACATCTTCCCGAATTCCCGCAGGGGGATTCTGGGCGTGATGGTCCAGAAGAGTAACGTAACCTGGCTCCAAGCGCACCGCCCATATACACACACACACACAGAGAGAGACACAGACACAGACACAGACACAGACACAGACACAGACACAGACACACACACACACACACACACACACACACACACAAAAGGAGCCTTTCTGGCAGATGTGTTCCTACCCCGGTCAGCCTATTCTTAATGAGGACCGGACGCCTCTCTCTAGCCTTTCCTGATGTGGGTTTTTTTTCCCTCCTCATTTTTTTTTTTGCCAAAGCCACTTGCACACCTAAAATGTATTTTTTTTTAAAGAAATCCTTTTTGTTGTTGTTCTTGTTGTTTTCTTTCTCTTTTTTTCTGGCAAAATCAAGAATCCAAACGACAACAAATTCAGAAGGCTGGGAGGATGATGGTGGTGGTGGGAAAATACATTTTAGTTCGTGGGTTTTTTTTTTACTTTTTTTCCCCTTCCCCTTCCAACCCCCCACTCCCTGAAAAAAAAAATCCATGGA